CGACCATGCCGCATTGCCAATTGGTATGCTTTCTGAGGAAGCTCAGGAGTCTAATAATAAGTATGTTAAGTCATATCGACTTAATTTTTCCCGTAAAACCTCTCGGTGAGTGTTTTTATATATCTGTGTTCAACTAATAAAACCTGATTCAATGTTGTACCTTTTGTACCTTAACTTTGGGTACGCTTATACATTCGAAAATTTGCGTACAGTTTCTTTAATTTCTCTCTATATTATTGTGAATTTAATTGGGTTACAGAATAGATACGAATACTGATACATTTCACCGTTTACTTGCAACCTCAGATCCACTAATTTCTCTTACAAGAAATTTGAAGAAGAAAAAAGCACATGAGCTGACGAGTGAAATGAGACAACTCCTTATCATCGATGATGAAGAGTTTATTGAAGAATATGTGGGCGAAGATTTAAATTTTGAAGATTTCACTGATTAGAGATGTATGTATGCATACATTTGTTTATAATTTCAAGATAATCAAATTTAGAGTTACGTCAAAATTATTCTAATAGTTAAAAATTTCATTTCAGGTCAGATTCAAAAAAATTTGTATCATATTGATGCAATTTTCATTTATTATTTATTTCTGTTGCCTTCATTGACTTTTTATTGTTATTATTTTTTTCCATATGTAAATATTTGTGTAGTATACATTACCAATTATTAATATGATTTTTTTGTTGAACAAAATGTTTAAAAAATATATTTTTGCAAAAAACAAACCATAAACCTGTAATTATTATTGGAATGACGACTTTCATTGTTAATTTTGCCATAGATATTTATTTATTCATATTTATTGTTAATAAATAGATATAATTAAATTATTTAAATTATTTTCTCAAAAAGCGTTTCTAAGCTTTTTTAGAACATACAGGGACTATAATATTACGTTCAATGATAAGAGGTACCTTAAATTCAATAATGGGCAAATTGAGCATTATACCTCGATTTGTTGTATTTTTTATTAACTTTGATTTTCCACATACTTAAATTGTTGATAGGTAAATAAAAAAATGCAGTGGTTTTCCTTTTTTGATACCTTTCTAAACAACAAAAAATTTTCATTTTTTTTTTTCAGATCAACTACGCAATACGCAAGAATTTAGTGCGTTTTTTTACTATTTTGCCCCATTGTGCGTCGGGCCGGGCGTTTGGTGGAATGGACGGTGCCAGCGGCTCCAGCAGTCGCAAGAGAATCATCCGTCTCGTTACCTCGCCGCCGTATCTGCCCTGGACGTTCTGGTCGAGTATTTCGCGGGCCGAGGCAAACACCTTTGCCCAGAAGGCGCTCTCGAGGTAGCGCGTCCTCTGGAGGAGATGAATTGGGAATGCTTCGACGGTGCTATCCAGCAGTTGTCGGAGCTCGTTGCGGTCCGGCTGGCCGGCTGCCTGCAGAAACAGCGAGCCGAGTATGCTCTGGGGGTCGAGCATCGCCCGCAGCACCTCGTGAGTGAGCACGAGCCACGGATGACGGCCGAAAGGCTTGTGCTCCAGCAAATTGACGCGATTGAAGACAATCTCTGCGCGCACGAAAGTCGGCCAACGCGATGGATGACAGGCGATCCAATCCAATACTACTTTTGAATCCGACCAACAATAAACTTTTGCAGGTGCAAATCTTAAATCGTCGATCAAGTGCCTCGCGAGTCGAACCAGCAGAACCGCAGCACAAAGCTCCAGTCTGGGTACTGTCTGGACTTTTGTCGGGGCGAGCTTCATCTTGGCGACGATCAAATGCGACGCTCGTCCTGGAATTACCGCGTAAATCGCCGCCGCATACGCTCTCTTGGAAGCGTCAGCAAAGCCGTGCAGATGCCAAGCCTCATCCCCGCCGACGCGAGCAATTTCACTATTTGATCTAGACGCGATAAGGCTTCCTCCAGCGAGTCTGCTCCGAAAAACACGTCGTCCACGTACAGCTGATGGTGCAACGCTTCGGCCGCCTCGGGGTACGCCCTCTGTCCATCCTCGGCCAATTGCTGCATCACACGCAGAGCCAAGAATGGAGCCGCTGCTGTGCCATACGTTACTGTGGTACATCGAAAATCCTGTATTGGCAATGATGGCTCGAGACGCCACAGCACTCTCTGGAAGTCCACATCGTCGTCGTGTACTCGAATCTGCCGAAACATCTTCTCGACGTCCGTGGTTCCTGCACATTTAAAAAATCGCCAGTTGATGAGCACCACCGTGATATCAGCCCTAAGCTTGGGTCCTGGCAGCAGCACATCATTGAGCGAGAGCCCGTTTGTTGTCTTGCGTGAGGCGTTCAAGACGACTCGTATCTCTCCTGGCTTGTCGTCACGAAACACGGCATGGTGCGGCATGTAAAAGGTCGAACGAGAGCGTTGACCGTGTGGCACCAACTCCATGTGACCCAGCTCCGTGTATTCCTTCATAAACGTACAGTAAGCCTCGCACAGTGAAGTGTTGAGCGAAAAACGCTTCTCTGTGCGCAACAAACAAGCCTGTGCCGCGCCGCGCGAATCTCCCAAAGCGAGCCGCTTTGCGAATGGGAGTCGCACGACGAACCTGCCGTTCTCGTCTCTGTAGTGGGTCCTGGTGAATGAGTCTTCGCAGCGCTTTTCATCTTCAGTGAGATGCTGCTTTTCTTGCACTTCTTCCAGTTCCCACAGCTTTGATACCATCGAAGAGACAGACGGCTCGACAATCGTATGAAAAGCTCGCACGGTTGCGACGTCGAGAAATTTCCTGTCTGGAAGCATGGGGCCGGTAATAATCCAACCAAATACGGTGTTTTGTGCGACCGGAGATGCTATTCTTCCTTTCACCAATCCTTCCAATATCAACAGCGGGTAAACATCGGCGGCCAACACGCAGTCGACTTTAGCTGGTATATGGAACTGTGCGTCGGCCAACTCGAGATCCTTCAAATGCGGCCAAGAATCGAATGGTATCTTTTGCTGCGGTAGATATCTTGTTATCTCCAGTAGTATCAGTGCTGAAATATCCATGGCAAAATCTGCGAGCTTCAGCGACTTGATTGTGCAGCACATTTCGCTTCGCGCTCTTGCGGTCACTCCAGTGCCAAGTCCGATGATAGCCCACGCTGTTTTCCTCCTGGATAGCTGTAATTGCGCAGCCAATCGCTCCGAGATAAATGATCGCTGTGCAGCAGGGTCGATTAAAGCTCGAACAGTCAATGAAGTCCCGTCTGCTGCCATTATCTTCACGCGTGCCGTAGCAAGCAGGATGTTCGCGCTCGCGATCGTGGTATGCGCATTGACTGTTGGCTCCATCATAGAGTCCACCTCAGGGTCCTCGACTCCGTCGACCTGGTCCTCGCCGCCACCGCTCGCCTCTCGACGTCTCGTCGTTCTCCTGTCAGCATCGTCGGCGTGGAGCTTAGTGTGATGCTTTCTTCTACAGGTCCAGCATCGCGAATTCGACGGGCAGCGGTCAACAAAATGCGACCTATGTAAACAATTTAGGCACAGCTTCTTCTTTCTGCAGAACTCCAAACGCTGAGGTTGAGACTTGGCCAAGAACTTGAAGCACTTATGGAGCCAATGCGCTGATTGGCACAAGTCGCAAAGAGGCGCGTTTCTTGCTTCAGTGCTGTCCTCCTGCACTTGCGTGTTATTGGCGAACGCGCGCTGTTGTCCTCCATTGCGAGATCTTGTGGTGTGAGCGTCACTGGTCTCATTCGACGGTCTGGCTTGCTCCAAGGAGTGGATGCGTCTCTCGAGGAAGTTTACGAGATCGCTATAGGTCGGCAGATCGGTGGCGTCTTCACGCGAAATCTCCCACGACTCGCGAGAGTTCGCATCGAGCTTGCGTACTACGCAGTGCCCTATCCACGCATCATAGTGCTCTACCGGACACTGAAGTTCCTTCAATGAACGAAATGCTTCCTCCGAGTGGTCGATGAGATCGCTGAGCTCCTGCGCATTTCGCGCTTTTACCATAGGTAGCTGAATTAGATGTTCCAGTGTGTTGGTAAGCCGGATACGCTTATTATCGTATCGATGCATCAATTTGTCCCACGCGACATCGAAGTTGGCCTCTGTGATTTCCATTTCTCGTAAGCGCAATGCAGCTGGGCCTTGAACTGCGTTCAAAAGGTGCTGCAGTTTGGCCACTTTTGGGATTGATTCCTTGTCTCGGACTAGTGTGGAGAACCGTTGCTTAAAGCTCTCCCACTCCTCTTGCTTGCCAGAGAATTTCGGGAGTGCGAGGCTAGGCAGTGCCGAAAACTGTTCGATTCTGAGCTCAGATCGATTCGTCGGGGCCGCTTCCGTGACTTGTGAAGTCGGAGCAGGAGGGGGCGGACGTCTGAGGGCGAGCAGGTCTCTGATGCGTGACTTCGCGCCGATGTACTCCAGCTCGACGAAGCAATAGCCGTCTTCGGCGAAATATTGATGTGCTGCCAATTCCTTTTCATAACATACCAGCTGATCATGATTGTTAGTAAACTTCTCCCAATAAGACTCCAAGAGCTCCAATCTTGCCACAAAATGCGACTCCGTTTAGTTTTCTGCTCCTACTTTATCCGTTGAATTCGTATAAAAATTCGCTATGTGTCCCGCCAATTTTAACTGCTTCGTCAGTAGAGCTTCCATGGCTTATTTACTCTTGGATTGAAAAGGCGACGGTTGGTGACAGACGATACTGTGAGGTGAGTTGGTTCGCGCCGAGCCTTCTCTTGTAAATAAACACTGGCGAGTCGACTGTTGCGATGATTTTATGTTTGCTTGATAATTATCTTTTTTTTCCTCTTATTCTTTTCCGTGATCTGATAACTTGCGCTCTGCTACCAAAATGATGCCGCTGCGGGCCAAGTGAAATGTGCGACGAGATGATTGCAAGCGAATGTAGAAATTTATGCGACCCAAGGTCAATCAAAACGTAGACGCATTTTCGTAACAATAAAAACTTCTTTATTAAGTAAATAATTAACAAAAAAAGGGGGTAGTTCTATGATAAACTTGCAGGCTCAAAAAAAGCTCCGTGCTGGGGTGAGAAAAGCGATAGTAATGGCTAAATGCGATGCTTCGAAAAGCTAACGGCTAACTGACCAATTTCAATAGCTACGACCAACTCACGGCTAAATAATATTTGGCGCTCTTTCGATCTCCATCCCTTCTCTCCATCCAGCAACCCTGTCCCGAAGCTACACAACCGAACAATCAGCGACGATTCGTCGTCGTCCGACGAGCTGCGTCGTTCCAAGAGATCGTTCCTCGTTGCTGAAAGGGAGCAGCCTTCGACAATCGTCGTCATGGGCAGCAGCAGCGAAAGCAGCGGCAGCATCGAGGTCGTTGCTGCCGCTGGTTCAAGGCCCAGCGCCGTCGACGAGATTGCCGCGGCCGAGCAGGTGGAGCAGGATCGCGTCGACGTCAACGTCGGTGCATCGTCGTCCTCGGCGCGGCCAGGATTGGCCACAGCGGCAGCGGACGCAGCAGTGGCTGCGATCGAGCACGACGATGACGACGACGACGACGACGAGGGATACGTCGACGTCGACCGCGACCACGACCAAGACCAGAACGAGGAAGAGACGGACGACGACGACGACGACGACGAGGAGGAGGGGGCGGCTGTCGGTCCCGCGTACGAAACCGCGAGAGTCTTTTTGTCGGCAATGAACGAGGCGGAGGCGAGGCCGCCCATCGACGGTATCGACGACCAGTGGTCGTTCGAGGACGACGCACTTTTGCTCCGCTGCCTGGATCCTCGCTCGGTGCACGAGTATCGCACCAAGGAGTTTTGGCGCAAGCTGGTCGTCGAGTATTTCTTCGGCAGTGGTCATGTGACGGCAGCACGTGCCCGCGCCCGCCTGCAAAAGCTGCTCCGCGATAAAAAGGCTTTTCGGCTGTGGGGCCCGATAGCCGGTCGCAATTTACGCGACGGGCCAGACCCACGGCACGAAAAGTTCGAGACTTTTGTGCGGGCCCGGCACGCTTGGCGCTATTACGCGGAGCGCAGAGACGAGCGCGGCCAAAGCGGCGTCGGACAGCAGCAGGGTCGCACCGGCTCAGCGAAATGCTCGAATGCTGAATTGGAGGTGAGTGCAAAAAATTTTCTCGTTTTTCTTTAATTATTTTTTCTCGTATTTTTATCGATGAATTAATTTCCGACCGTTTTCATTGTTGCTTCAGCGCGAGCGTGTGTATTGGAGCCAGCCGGCGCCGCCGAAAAGAGGACCAGCGCGTGGATGGAAACGCAAGAGGCCCGACGACGTCGACGACGACGAGGATGAGGAGGAGGAGTGCGACGTAGCCGCTCGTTATCGTCGCAGACAGCGTGGCGAGCAGGCCGACGACCAGGCTGGTCCGTCGTGCCGGCTGCGCAACAAGCGTCCGAGGACAAAGGGCCCACGCGAAGACGCCGACGAGGCTCGGCCATCGACGTCGTCGAGGGCAGTGAAGCCGCAACCAACACCGCCGCCGACGCCACAAACGACGCGTCCGGCTAAGCAGCAGCAAGCGTCCCGTCGGCCGGGCTGGCCCGAGTGCTCTGGCCGACAGCCCGTCGTCGTGCTGGATCGAGCGTCAGTGCCCATCGGCAAGGACGCCCGTGGCGGCGGCGGCGGCGGCATCGGCAGCAGCAGCAAGCCCAGCCCGGGAGGAGCGGCTCGCTGCAAACCGTTGGCATCGTCGTCTCGCTCGGCATCTTTGGGCCCAAGCCAGTTTTCGCCCCGGGCGGGCTTTACCACAGTGGTGAGTATACGCGCGATTACATTGCTCGCGGGCACGAGTCAAGTCTTGTCCCTTTACACGCATCGCTCGATAATTAATGTTTTTTTCTTCTTCGTTTGCAGGGTGGTGGAAGAGGAGAAGATTGGCGGGTGCTGCTCGACAGCGACAGCGAGGACGACAGCGACGACGGCGCCACGACCTCCAGCTACCGGAGCACGCCGCGCGGCTCCGCTGCAAGAAGAAGAACAACGAGGAGGTAGAAGAAGCGTCGCGACGGCAAGGGACGTCGCTGAAGGCGCCCTTAAAAATGTTTTCTTTTCGTTTACATTCATGAATTGATTTTTTCTTGTTTTTTTGTGCACGCTTCGGTGCGTGCGCGTGCTTTGTGCGTTGCGTGTCTCATGCAACGGCAGTAAACGCAACTTTTGGTTCGTTTGTTTATTCATTTTTTCCTTTTTTTGTTTTTTGTTGTTTTTGTATGATTGTTCGACGTATGCGTGTCTACGCGCAACAATAGTACTGTAGAAGCAGAAATGCGAATGAATAAACATTTCAAACGTTGATGAAATTTATTAATGTGTACCTACCTACCTAATACCTACCTTGTCGTTCCTGTTGCGTTATACTCGTCGTATTTAATTCATACTTACCTTGTACTTAACTCGTTTCCATGGGGTGCGTCTCAGCTTCGAATTATCGTTAATTCGTACTTATCTCGTAGTTACCTGGTCGTTCCTGGTGCGTTTCTTGTCCTTTATTGCAGCAGAAGCAGCAGCAGACGAAAATTTTGCCCACTATTGGGCAAAACAGGGGCCGGTTCGCGCTCATGGGCCGTTATTGATGGAGCGCGCGTTCGCGTCGTTTGCGTGGGCGCTCTTGTTCGGTGCGCGTCCGCCTATTCGTTAGCAACGTCGGCGGGTTGAGGTCACGTTTATCGACGGCGCATGCCGGGCGCATAGTTAATGGTCGACATTTGTCAGCCGAAAGATGTTGCGTCCAAGATCGGGGCGTTCGTGCGGGTAACGTGCGTCAACGGACAATTACAACTAGTGAAAAAGGTGTTTGTTGACGTATTTTTCGGAAAAACATTTCCATGTCATATGTGCGAAATGAGTCCGATGCGCGCTTGGGTTACTTGGGTTACTGCGGGTGTTACTGCGGCTGTTACTTGGGTTACTTGGGTTACTTGAGTTACTGCGGGTGTTACTGCGGGTGTTACTTGGGTGACTTGGGTTAATTAGGAGTTAAAATACAAACTATGTGCCACGGTGGCTTGTAGCCACCTTTGAAGGATATATTAAGTTAAATAAATATTTTTTTTGTAATCGACAGTTGATTTTTGCCTTTAATGCAACTCTGAATTGCCATTAAACACGCGACTACATAAATGCACAACAAATATTTCGTTTCGCGGACTTGCGCACAAGTTTGTGCACGCTGCCGTGTGTCTCGTGAATTGTGCAAAGGTTGAGGGCGACGCGGTACTCGTGCATGTAAACAACATCGCTATTCCTTTTTCAATAAATTTTTGATGCTACAAAATATTTATAAACATTGGCAGGTATTAATAAATTATAATTAATGGATAGGCCAATACGACAAACATATTTTTCAATTTATTCAAATTCGGTTGGTCCAGCGATTGGTATCATCGCTACGAGGCTAGCGACGAACTGTGTTGGATGTGTTAGTTGACTAAGATATTTCTTGGGCTATTTTGGGTACTTAAGAATGGACTTGTGAGTTATTATACGAAATGAATTCTTTTATGCTAGTTTTCGATGCATTTTCTAAAGCACGCATTTATCAAAAGTTTGAAACAATCCTTACTATACGAGACTATAAAAAATAATTTGGAACTCTACGTACTCTAGTTGTCATCATTCTGGCATTATTATAAACAAGTCAATACGGATCGCTTTTTCTCTTTGACTCATGTATTAACACTTTGAACCTCCGTTGCTGCGCACCAATATTTCCAAGGCCGAAACAACTTCTGATGATGGCCGACCCAACATGAAAATTATTAAAACCCTTGTATTATTTCAAACGCAGGTATCAGATCCAGGTTTATTTCGGACAAAAGAATCAAACTAAGGGTTATTTTGGATGGAACAAACCACTCTTGGGTTATTTTAGGTATTTAAGTATGCACNATTAGGACCTTTACTGTTTTTACTATATGTGAATGACTTGTTAGTGCTTCTACCAGAACTCATTGCTTACGCGGATGATACTGCTGCAGTCGTCGATGGTGCTACGTGGATGGAAGTGAACCAGAGGATGACGGCATTGCTCGAAATAGTGTACTCGTGGACGTACGCGAATCACTTGACACTCAACATTCAGAAATCAGTGTATATGACTTTTGGCAACTGCAGCGATTCATTGCCGGTGAATTTTGAGGTTCGAGTAAACAATATTGCAATGGAGAAAGTTGATAGTGCCAAGTACCTAGGAGTTATTTTTGATTGTTGCATGAGATGGTCTGGACATATCGATAAAATCGTAAATAGGACAAAATATCTGTTGTATGTTTTCTACAGACTACAACATATACTCTCGCGAAGTCAACTGCTGCAAATCTACTATGGATTATTCCACAGCGTAGCTACTTATGGCATTATTGGTTGGGGAGGAGTCTACGAGACTGCATTGAGAAAACTACAAGGATTGCAAGCAAGGATAATGAGAATAATCAAAATAAATGATTCTGACACATTTAAACCACCCAATCTGCGGCAGGTCTTTTGTTTGCTTCGTTGCGTTTGCGACGACGCGTGCGATTGCATCGGTGCGTGCGCGTGCTTTGTGCGTTGCGTGTCTCATGCAACGGCAGTAAACGCAACTTTTGGTTCGTTTGTTTATTCATTTTTCGTTTTTTGTTGTTTTTGTATGATTGTTCGACGTATGCGTGTCTA